GATATCTCTATTCCGGGATCAAATGTTAACTTTGCAAGCCATACCGACCTGTACTTTTATAAATCTGAGTACAGATTTCATCGTTCGACGTGTTACTGGAGGTGACGATCTTACTGACATTGACAAAATTGCGTGGGCACAGTGAACTCGATTTTATTACCAAAACACTAGCAGCTGGTGTCATGGTATGAACAATCTATTTTGTGCATTCGGAAGGAAATCCAGCCTTTCTCTGTCATATGGTTTATTTAAAAAGGTTTATCGCTACGAACAGCAATCTCTAGCTCGTAATTTCGAAATCACAATTGTTCACTGTATGAGCCTCTAGCTGAATCAAGAGAGGGGCAGTGATCCTAGCAACGGAGGCTCCTTGGGACAGAACTGAACTTCGGTGGTTCACGAACGACTGAAAAAAGCATGCGTTGCGGTACGTCGCTACCAACTCATTGGGCATTTCCAAACCCATTTGGCTCTTTTTAACCGATGAGGGGGTGCTTCTACTCGAGATGGATACCATTCTCTCAGCACATTTTGCCAAGTTTCACGCCGACAGACATTGAACTCCAGGTACCCATTCTGTCTGTTGAAATGCGCTGTAACAAAAGCAACTTTTCCCTAGTCTCAACCAAAATTAAGGACTAAAGACAAATCACGTACTTAGTCACGCAAACAAACAAAAAACCTTCCCCATGCATGTATTATACTTCCTTAGATATTAGTTATGCAATTTGAACTCGTGTCGCACGGTTGCTTCTCTGATCGTCCTAATTTGTTTTAGCTCTACAGTAACTTCAGCACTTTAGAAAAGAAAAAAAAAACAATTATAAAATCAGGACAGTTAGGCCATATAAGTACCTCTGTGTCAGCGACATGCAGGACCAAGGTGTAGTTCGGCAACACATCACTCCTGTTGTTGATATCCTCAATCGCTCGCTTGGCACCGACCAGGGCACTGTGGCCGAAAAATCGGCTCCAGCCGTCCTTCTCTGACAGCGGGAAGAGACCGCCGATGTGCAAGGGCGCGCGGTACGCAGCCACGGTAAAGACACCGCAACCGTGTCCCGCTAAGATTACCAAGGCCCGCACTAACACCGGCAGTAGCATCTCCTCGCCTCGAGCGACTGTACAGGATGAAAATAACACCCTATATTGCTGCTAACTCGCTTCAGAGTTGCTCAGCTTTAGACGGGGAACCTTGTCTCAAACCCCAGCTTCACAGGCTTTCCTCCGACGAGTACCTCTTAAATACTCGGTGTCAATAGCAAAATTCATTCATCAAAAGGCGGTGATCTTGGTCCGCTCCACTTTAACGAAGAAGAGGTAGAAAGCTCACTGGTTGACGGGCTCACGCTATCTGCTGATGCATCGGTGGCATCAACAGCTGGTGCTCATAGAATGTCGGTGGCGTTTAGCTCTTTTCTTTCTAGGTTGGGGTAGTCGTGTTTTGTCCGTAAACTTCAGTTGAGGTCCATTAGTGCGGCTCTCGTTGAAGATAAGTAACATCACTGGCTAAGTTCCGAGGTAATGATCTGATGGTCGATCATCTACTAACTGAGGACGAGGCAACTAACGTCCCCGCGCGGAGGAAGAAGCATTTATTTCCCTAAACCAATTATCGACTTGGTACCAAGTCTATTTTGCTTTCCGATGCACGAATAACTGTGTAGGCGTGGTCCAAGGCAAGATGTGTGTCGTTAATCCAGCATTTTATGACCAGCTTTCGCTACTTCTGCTTATCAACAGCACGAGAGTAAGGAAATAAAGCAAATCAGCTTCGGGAGTGTAGGCGACAACAACTATAATTCCTATATATGACAGGTTTGCCCTTACCCAACTTATATTAAAAATAAAAAGTACATCTTGAAAAAAAAAATCTTGAAAAAAAAATTACATCATGAAAACTATAATTCCAACGGCCTAGGGACACTTTGACGTCGTATCACGAACAGTGTAGCGTTCCATTTTGAGACATTTGAGTGTGTGAATGATTCCCATTCACAGAGAGAAAACATTCACAGTTTTGTTATAGACAATACTGATTAACGTATCCGTGATCAGAAAGCTGAGCAGGCACTTTGATCCGTGGTTTACGAATAGTTGAATGATTCAGTATTTTTTGTGTACAAGCATTCGGGTTGCCATGAAATAGGCTTATATACGCGCCAAAAGAAAACAGTGCAAAAAGCCCCGAAATAGCGCCGTCTGTTGACTCTCGTGAAGAGCAGCCACCTTCTTTTTTTTTTTTTTTACTGGAAATTCAAGACTATATGGCCAGAAGATCACTTTTCGTTTCAGTTTTATGTGGTTGGCCACGAAAAAAATTGTGTAGTCTTCTGTCCCCGAAGACACCCCAGATAGCGCGGGAAGACTTTGCGCTCAGCTCTGAATGTAGCCGCCCGCCTCTATCAAAAATAGACCCCAAAATTGGGGCTTTTTGTGAAAGAAATACCCCAAACTGGAAACTATCAGCTCCAAATTCGGGATTTATAGAAATATTTCTTTGATCCCTCCTGATTTTGGCATGTCTTATTGTAAAACCCCGTGGGATCACAAAAATTTAATGAGCTCGCGCGCAGAAATACGACAATTTGATGGAATGCACCCTTGGTGCAAGAACCAGCGTGTGAACTACCACGCATGCGTACTCTATTTGGTTGCACTACTCTACATGGTTCAATATAACGTCACGCTTCAGTATTATTATCACCACTTCTGTGAACATTTCCTATGAATCCCAATCCCCAAAATGAGAATAACCCTTCAATAAAAGGATTTTTTTTTTACTGCTTGATCAGGAGTTTGGTTAAAAACTTGTGCACACAGTCTGTTGTGGCTTCTATCATTCGCCCATGTGCGCTGGCGTAAATTCGTGCCGGGAGCTGGGAGATGGAAATTTTGTGGGGGCAGGGGTGATATTTGAAAAGCCGGGGGTGGGGGGCTGAGACCATGTGGCATTGGAGGCGATGTTCCTGATACGAATGCTTCCGTAATTATAACATGAAACTCCTGCAGCAAAACCTTGTCAAAACGGCCTGTTTATGGCTCTCGAAATGTTCTTTTTTTTAGTACTATTTGAACTAAATTTTGGTTTTTGGATGCTCTGCCCGAAAAAAAAAATTCTCCCTGGTCAAAATGTGTGTACGTATGGGGGCGGGGAAATAGGCCTACCCCCCTCCTCAAGCCTATGTGCATGAGGTGCATTGAAAAACTGTTCGTGTCGGTCCCGATAATTTGCGCATTTGTGTCCCACACGATTCCTTGCTGCTCAATCGGCAGTCGAAATATTTCTGATGTCCGCCGATCGTTTTGTGTTTCGCGGTAACCTTGCAAAATGTTCAAATTATGTGTACAACGTAAAGGAAAAATGTTCCCCTCCTCCCTGCTACTTCAAAGGGTATAGATTCAATTAAAATCAACTGAACATCCGTCCCTTTGACAAAGCGTGGAGTGCTTACATTTGTCGATCACAATGTCACGTTTACGGGGGGTCCTGAGCATTATTCTGTTTTGTTTTTGTTTTTGTCGTGACTTAACGGACAACTCTCACAATACCAAAGCCAAAACAAATACGCTGTTACATTTATGAGTACCGTTTTCCCGATGAAAACGTGCAGTTATGTCACGTTTGTGAATCCAGTGCGATGTGCCATATGGTCAGATTGTAGAGGAAAGTCGCAACCGCTGCTTTGAAATAAATTGCCGTAAAATCATTCATCGCTGGTAATCATTGAAAAATAAATGACCACACTGATGAACAGAGGCTTAGCAAGGATAGGTGCTTGTGTTTTATTCGCCTCCCCGATGAAACACAATTCATGATAAAACACTGCTATTGGCCTGACAAAAACTTGCATATTCGGTATCCAAAGTGACATGGCTAATCGTAAACGAAACCGCAGCTAGCTACCGGTTCGAGTATGACGGGAACAGTCAATGCAGATGGAGTTCCATATCCCATAAGACGCGTGATCGCAGTTGCTCTCCGAGCAGTAACTCCACCGCGGTAAACACACCGATTTTTCTCACTGCTACACTAGCAGTTGGCAGGTAACAAAATAGTTTCCGGGTTTCTCTTTAGCAGCCTGGCTTGTTGTCAACAAGAGCATTAACCAATCATCACAATAACGGAAAACACACCAGAAAATGGCAAAATTTGTTCCATGGAAGTGGTTTGTCCACTCGGGTCAATGCAGAATTATGTCAACCATACTGAAGAGGGAAAACTGTGCACTTACAAAGCTTGTCCAGGGTTTCTGTTGCAGACTCCTACTCAGCGCGCCACAGAGCAGAGGCAAAGCTTCTCCAGACCCGACATTTGCAGAAGGACCCCCTCATGGGTTGAAAGAGCCAGGTTGGTAGGGAGTGTTTCTTTTGTTGGTAGCAACGCAACCGCAATGCGTGCATTTCACGGTCGTTTGTGTACCAGGGAGTGCAGTTCCCACCAAAGGAGCCAGCATTGCGGGGAAAATCGCGCCCTCTCTAGGTCCAGGTCAGGGTTCATTCTTAGACAACTTCATTTTTAATGGCGTCGACTGATATGTGTCAGTTATACAAGCATCATGTGACGGGCCGGTACACCCTTCGTCCGCCAGTCACAAATATAAAGATGATGTGTTGAGTGATATTTTCGAGCGCTTTACATCCGCGACAACGGGGAAACAACTCGCAAAGCAACGATAGATTTGTAAACAGGAGTACCTTGATGTCCACGTGACGCCCCGATGCCATAGCAACACCAGTAAGTACTGGTAAAGCAATTTGTAGTCGGTTGTACAACTTGCACCATTATCCAGCAAGTTTATCGACTAAAACTTTCAGGGGTGGAAAAGGTCCGACATTTATAGTGGGGGCCTACAAAATGTCCGGATTTTGTAAGCAAAATACAAAAGCTAGGTGAAACGTGAGAGTGCATGATACATTAATTAAGAGAAATTTTATTGTAACCCTCGTGCCTATAGCGTATACATGTAAGAACATAATTTTACACATGCATTCGTAAAAGAAAAACAGTTACCGATTTTAGCGCAAAAACGGGCCCGTGTGTTGCCGCAAACGCTGCTACACGACCGACCACGTGGCTGTCACAGCCAGGTGCCCTACCAACTCATCATCAGGACAATGATTTGGCTTCGGGGAACCAGATCTTTTGACTACGAATGAGGTTAACATGGGTTAGTTTCTTTGGAGCAACGGGCTGCTCTGGAGCGAGCAAGATATAAGTTTGAAAACCAGAGGCCCAAGACCTTAGTAGATTTTGAACAAACGAAATTGTAGTTCAACAAAGGAGAGATATCAACTACAAAACAATACAGCAAACCGAAACATTCAAAACATACGCGTGTCACTTCTTAGGGGCAATACGGGAAAGCGTGAATCACTTTGAAGACCAGAATTAGAACATGAAGTATTTCTTGATTCAGTGCGAAGTCATCCCCAGAAATTCCATTTTAAGGGATTATTCTTTTAAAAAAGCTTTTATCATGTCGTTATTTACATTATTGGTGTACGGCGGTTAGGTTAATACCGTTCTTAACTGAAAATGACATGTAGGCAGTCTTGGCTTTTTGTCTAACCCTTTGAGGGGTCAGACGACATTAAGCCATCTTCTTCATGATGGTGTGGGATTAAGCGTCAAATATGAAAGAAAGCGTTAGGTGGTAAATATACAGAAAATTAACTTTACTGACGGAATCCTTGAGCATCATTGCTCCCAAGCTGAACTGCTAAAGTACAAAATAATGCCATGGGGGATTCTTGGTGTTCTGCATGATAATGCATGTTTATGTGCACATTTGACTGAAAAACCACTTAGGGTCACTTGCATATAATATCTTTGTACCCACTCTCCTGAAAATCCAATGCACACCATCTGTGTGATAAATGCATGCTTTGTGCACATTCAACTGGAAAACCAGTTGTAATACATAACCTCCAAATGATGTCCATATCTTTGTACTACTTCTGCTGAAACAATTAAGTGCATGCTGGTCATGCCATTACATGTCTTTGAGCCCATTCAACTGAAAATCTAATGCAAACCCTCTATGCCATTGCATGTCTCCGTGTTGGTTCTGGCGGAAAAAGGTTAGACGCTTGCTGTGTTGAATGCATGGGTAACTGAAACATGTGATGTATTACTCAATTCTTTGGAGCGGGCACCCGGTGGCACGTACGGTTGCTGAACACAGCGCACCAGGGTTGCAACAGTAAATCCAAAATATACATATGTCTGCCACCTATTGCACTTTGTCGATCAGTTCGCCTAGCTCCTTGATGGAAGGCAGGTAGAAGTCGGGCACCTTCTTTTGATCCTCCAGGGAGTTGCTAGCCTGGAAGTGCCGCGCTTCCTCCAGCGTGGAGATCCCAGTCAGGACAAAGAGGGTCTTTAGGCTGCAGTTATGGCCAAACGGGATGTCCGTGTTGAGGTTGTCGCCAATCATCACAGTCCGAGACTGGTCGACCTCCTTGATGCTGAAGAGATAAGAGAAATTTCTACAAGTGACCCATGTTCCATGCAACTCACCTTCAAAATAATCACTTTAATCGTGTTTTTAATTCAACTTTCAAACATCACATAGATTTTCACCCATCAACAACCCAGGAATACACATGTTTACTTTGGAAATCTTACATTTATGGATAAAGTTGATTACATGTGTATTTTCATGGTTACTGCATTTACTGTAATCCCCTAAAAGGCGTCTTACAGTAAATTTACTCCAACACTTAAATCCATCAACCCTAAAACTTCATCCAACCTCGGACCAACCCACTCTACAAACTAACCCCCAACCGATTGCAAACTCCCCAAACTGTACCCAACCTGATCAATCCTCTCTCAAACCCCATCTCCCCCATGCTACCCTCATTCAACCCCCATCCAATCCCTATCCCACCCCCCAACCAAGTGCGACCCTCACCCAAACTGTACCCAACCTGATCAATCCTCTCTCAAA